AAAAAAAAAAAAAAAAGTAAAAAGAATCCCAAATAGATTGCTAAATTTACTCAAGTTTAATCTCTCTACAATATATACATAAATACGCAGATTAATAATTTAAGTAGGAGCTTTATATGATTATTGAAGAATTCTTTCACTGTGGATTATTTTAAAATCTACACTGTTATAGTATTCTGACGATACTTATTACTGTATAAAAGTTGTTATACCGTGTCTTACATGACGTCAATTTCTATAAGATATTGTTTTATATATATCAATTTGTATACTGAAAATCTTTCCTTAAGATGCTTTTTAGGAAACAAGTCAATTCTTTCGAAGTTACTTTAAAATACTTATTGTTAGTGCATTTTATACAGAAACATTTATGTAAATGTATTGTACGCCTTTAGAACAATTTAATGATTCGTCTCGAGAAACATACTTTTTGTGATCTGCTACGGCATATTTGGAACCAGCTGTGTTATTATAATAATTCAATAGTTATGACATATAATTTGCATTTATCTAAAGATATATAATCAGAAGATGCGTCGATACTTCAACATATACAGAATAACAATTGTCGACGCTATATTATTATTGAATAACACATTTTCACGTACTTTCCTTATATTCCGTGACCAAATGTTCAGGATATTTAATCCAGAGGCGCAAATGCCGATTCTAAGTCGGTTTCTAATTCGTATAAAGTAGAAAGCAAATGTGTTTGTATTCTATTTATTATCATCATGACTATAATTATTATTGTTGAAATTATTGCTGCCTTTAAGTATTATTTTTACAATTTATAGTAATTATACTACATCAATTTAATACTACAATCTATAGAAGAGAACTTAAATCAATGCAATGTGAAAACCAATTCGAAAAGAAGTTACTAGAAAAAGAAAGGAAATAGCTGAATCTCATAGCTAAGGGACATAACTCAATTCTATATTTTTACTTACGTAGTTTACATTAATAATATGTTGAAAGTACTGAAATTTCGATCAATAAATTTCTTAAAAACTTTATTCTTAAATTAAAAAATATTAAGTTAAAAGATATATTTAAGTTTTAAAGGATAGGAAAACAATTAAATTATTAAAATTTATATAACTATGTTAATACAATGTATTAATAATATTGTGCAATGTATTTCATTATCATTTTTGTACAGTATATTAATACAATGTATTAATTCACATTTTTCTTTCACTATTTTTTATCGATATTTTCTTGTTTAATTCCTTGTTTTTTCCGACTTTATCTTTTTCTTAAACGTATAACTTGAAAAACATAAGCATTTAACTTATCACAAAATCTAATATAAAGAAATAGAAAATTATGTTTACAAAGACAATTAAAAGAATCTTTTAAAACGTACATTACTAATAACGGAGTTATAATAAAATTGAAACAACTACTTGAAACTAAATCATTGTAAATAATACGTAATTCATGAAGTATAAAATTAATATGTATTATCTATCTTGTTTTAGATGCATTAAATCATCAGTTGTGTAAAATTACAGATCATCTTACTGTTTTTAAAATAAAAGATTTGCACATTTTAGTAAAGATTTAAAAAAATTATGAAATTAAAGTATTTGTGTCCATGTCATTTATGTAAACAATAATAAAATTTTTCATTATTATATAAAACTCTATAAAATGAAAAGCTAAAATTACGCAGATGAAAATTAATATAAATAATCAAATGTAATAAATTTTCTCATATAAATAATTAATGAAATTACGAATTTATATCTATTTTGTTCACTTTTCCATACTATTTACGGCATTTGCTTTGGAAAACAATATTTGCCTCTTGGTGCTATAGTTGCCTATATGAACACAATCAAGTTCCTCTTTTGAATGTAATGGAATTTAGGAATAGAAATAAGAAAGCAAAAATTTGTATACTATTTGTAGAATCCTGAACATGACTGGTAACTTCAAAATTATCAATATTCTAAGATAAGAAAAAAAAAACGATAACTAATATAAAACATTTTTACAAACAAATTTATAGTAAATAAATATGTACAATCGTGCATAGATGAAATGCTATAAAAAATATTTTACAGCTGTTTAATTAACATTAACATTGATTTGTTAATGAAATTTTCGAATTAGGAAACACAGTTAGAGTAACAAAATGTACTACTCTTTATATAACAAAGGACTGATCGTGCAAAAAAGACTTACCTGTTTACATAAAATCTTTGCTACTACTAAATACTAATAATTCCCTAAAATAAGATAGAGATTAAATTGCGAATGATTATAAATACATTACCATGTATATGTATAAAGTATTTAATAACATTATTAGTTGATATTATTGATTATTATTATATTATTATTGCATTAAAATACTTATTAAATTGTAAATTATCTTGTAATTTTTTTACATTCTTTTGAAGCCTGCACGAACAAATCCTAGCATTTTCAATTTTTCTATAATTACTAATTTTCAGTATATATTACTATATAACTTTACATATTCAATTCTACATATTCTTCTAGAATATGAAGTAATGATAAAAATATCATTTATGGAGATTTTATATATATTAATTTCATCAATTTATATCTCGTCTGTGTTAATAAACAAATTCAACACTATTGAAATATAATTTCATTATTATTACCGTAAAACTTCTTTTTAAATTTATATTAATAATTCTTATAATTTAAAAATTTTTACATTTAAAACTTGTTTTTTATATAACAATAGTGATTAAAAATAAAAACATTATATATATTATTAGATATATGAAGAATTAATTCTAGGAATTAAAGTTGAAAATTTTGAATTTTCCGCGCATATTATTGTTGTGTCACAGTGTCACCAATTTAAGAAAAGTGTTTGGTATAAAGGTACATTAGTGTCAGATTAGATCGTTCGCTTTTGAAATTTCGAAGTTATTTGTTAAGACGAACTCAATGACTTCCATACGAGGTCATTTGTTGTTATAACCTGTTAAAAATTAATGAATTATTGTTTAAAATTCAGTAAAATGGTGAAAACAAATTGTACAGCTAGTTTTAAGAGCTCACTGTAAAGAGGTTTCAATTTTCAAGATCATGATTGATCTGATTATGAAAAATAATTGTTCAGTGATGGAAAAACTTATCTTCGACGAGATGTTTGAATTTTTATAATTTACGAAAAAAAAATATTCTTGCTGCATGATGTAAAAATAAGTATCTTTGAACGAAACAAATTCAAGATTGTTAAAGTGGCGGTCACTCTTTAAAATAAAATCAAGTTAATTATTCTGTAATTCTTTTTCACAAAATTATAATAGTTTAAAGTATTGATAATTTTTTATCTAGTATATGAATATTTTCGTTCAAAATTTTATAAATATTCGAATTTCGTATGCATAAATCAAAGTTTATTCGCGTCGTTTATTTGTAACTAAAAACTTGCAATAAACATTTTGCTCAATTCTTTCTATTCTATTCTTTAAAATGATGGAATATGAATCAAAGAAAGTGATTAAGAGGAAAAATTATATCGAACTTTTGATAAAATTTATTTGAACGGATAGTTTCTTTAATATTTTACTAATAATTTCAGAATTTTACTGTATGAAAAAAAGCATTATAATACCGTAAAACGTCAATAGAATTCTTCTATATAATTCTGATATACAGTGGAATAATTTCGGTTAGTTACTAGTTCCACATTTCGGTATTAAAAATTTGACAACTTTGTAATGGATTTCAAAAATCATTTCTGGCGCATACTTGATCAACTTCGACTTGATGTAGTCTCCAATTCACCGTTGTTCAAGCATAGAGTGCGCTAAAAAACCACTAATTTTTTAATGTCAGTATTTCAGAGCATGAAACATGAAATCCTAAGATGCTTGGTCTATTCATATACCTCGCCTGTAGTTTTAATAAAAACTGTGGTTGTACTTACTTGCTGTTGGAATCTAACCTTAAAAATATATATATACATTAAAATATTACCTGTAAATTCAAATTAAATTTTAAATATAGGTTGCTAAATGTCCCTTCTACGCAAAGGACAGGTTTATTCTTTTATTTACTTCATATATATAAATTTCGTCATTTGTATTTTCTCTAAATTTTAAGTTTTATTTATTAAATACATTTTAAATGTTCTTCCACTATACTTTGATTTTATATAAATTAATTTTATTTATAGCAATGGGGTACTTTTGCACGTGTTTGGCACATTTTCGATGCAACTTGGCAAGATCCATTTAAAAGTGCACATTTGATAAAAAAGTATCTTATGGGATTATACAAACCTATATATCATCCTTTGAGTATGTAAAATTATATACATACATATATATTCATTTGATATTGTTTAATATAATATTACAAATTGAAAAAATTAACGCAAATATTCGAATGTTAATATTTTTTATACAGATCAGTGTGGTGACCATGTAATAGTAATAAACAGCAAAAAAATTGCATTGCGTGGAGACGAATGGCAGAAACGAGTATATTTTCATCATACTGGATATCATGGTGGTGCTACTTGGACTCTTGCATGGGAATTACATAATAAAGATCCTACAATGGTAATTATCAGATTTTGTAAAATACTTATATTTATATAACAACTTTAAAGTTTTATTATATATTTTTCACTTGTAACATATAGATTGTAAAGAAAGCAATTTATTCAGCAATGGATGGAACTCTACAAAGAAGATACACTATGCAAAGATTACACATTTTTCCTGATGATAAGGTCCCTAAGGAAATGTTAGTAAATGTAAGCAATCAAATTAAACAATTGAAATCTGTTCCAAACAGATTATATGAAATTCCACAAGAAGAAAAAGACAAAATCCCAAGGCTTATACAATATCCTTTCGATTATCAGCTCAAGTAAAGTTATATTTATAAATTTAAAATAAATTTTATATAATTTAAAAAAAATTTAATTGTTTTATTGTGATAGATTGTTGTAAAAGTAGTGAAAAGGTTGAAAAATAAATTAACAAAATTTATATAACATTGACATTTATATTTACAAATTATGAAATAGATTATTTACTAGTGATTGATAATATACCTTTAGGTTTTAATTGACTATCCAAAAACTTTTGTTTTTGTTCCTCCTTTTCTTTCATTAATGTAGCATGTCGTTCAACTGCATAATCAACTTGTTCAACAAGTTGAATAATTTTTCTCTGTAAATCAATCATTTAATTAATTATGGTATTAAAATTTCATAAAGTTAAAAAATTCAAAAATTCAAAAAATTTTAAACAATACCATATAATCTTGGTGTTTCTGTATGCGTTTCAATTGTCTTGATGCATATGCTACAGGTTTATTGTCTTTAAAGGAATAATCAGATAATGTAACTAGTGGACCAGTACTATTTGGATTTTTTGCTAAATTTTTTCTGTAATTATTAAATCACATGACATTTTACAATTAATATATGTTGAAAAAAATAATGTAATAAATTTATGTCATATAAAATTTATTCTTACGCTACTCTCCATTTTTGGTTCAAATATATTGGAAAAGATGTATGAAATCTATTAACACAGATAGTCGAATCTAAAATAAAAATATAATTAATATTTTGACAAATTTAAGGTTCCTCAAGAAATTTAATATTTTTAATATTTTTAACTAATGTAAGTAATTACTATAAAGCACTAAATTACACTAACTTGTACAATGGCTTGTTCGCAGGATTATTTTCGTCGTAAACAGTAACATTTTATTTCAATAACGTTTTTATTTAAACAAATATTTATGATAGTTATGAAAATGATATTAAATACACATGTAAACCATAGAATATATATTGCTGAGATACACTGCCATCTATTAGAGACTGTGTCTAAATAAAGTATAATAAAGAGAATAATAGTGTGCGATAAGAACAATTGGACAGATTAGTTCTCTCTTTTTGCCGTTATGTGGTGATAGTATTTCAATGCTTATGAATTAATTAAATTTTTATTTAAAAAATACTAATTAACAAAATTACAGTTTATTATTCAAGTCTCCCAGTATATATCTACGAAAAAATCTTTATTTGTTGAGATTATACTACATTGACAATATTGCATGTGATATAAAAATAGTGAGATTTAAAACTTATAAGGTTGGCAATATGGTGTCAATTCAAGTGAACTTCAAAATTATTATTATTTTCATAGAGACAATTCTGGCAGTGTAAGTTGAGCTTGGAAAGAGGACTGTTTTCTACGTAAAGCATTAGTGAACGTTTAGATACAAAATGACTTCTTTGGATTCAGGAATTGAAACGAATAACAATTCACTCGATTGTTCAATCGTCCAAAACCAAAATTTGACGACGGAAGAAATTAACAATGTCAGTTGCTCCAATTCAGCTTCCGCAATAACAACCAATAACGAACAAAGTGAAACAGAAGAAGTTAAACCGGATATATTTCATAACAAATTTAATTCGGATTGGTCTGTTTGTTTATCAAACATACACGGTGATATTCCAAATTCTATACCAACAAGTAGTTCTTTACCACGGATTGATGTACCTCCTGTAAGTATTACTTCTTTTGTATAAATTTTTTTCGTTTTTTTTTTCATTTCAACTGAAATTGGTTTAATGTTTTCTTTTTCTTTTTATTATTACAATTATTATTAATAAACGAAAGTATTAGTTTCTAGTACAATAAAGCTATTAATTGCAATGAATAACTAGATTAGAATAATAGATGATTAATTTAATAATTGATTTTTCATATTTGAAAAATATTTTATAAATTTTGAGAAGTGATTATGACATAATATTAATAGTACATCATCAAAAATAAATTTTTGCAGGTTTTTTGCAAATATGAATATAAATCACCCGTGTTTCAACCTCACAAATACAAATCACCCATGTTTCAACCTTATAAATATGAACCACCTATGTGGAAACGTTACAAATATGAACCACCCTCTTGTCAACCTTTCAAATATGAACCATCTTCCTGTCAAGCTTCTAAATATGAACCACCCGTGTGGGAATCTTATGAACCACTAACAACCAAAACATTATTAATGGATGGTAAGTTTTGTTTATAGTAATAGTTATAATAAGACACAGCAAAATATTATCAATTATGTTGTACATATTTCAACAACATATTTATCTTTCTTTAACGATATTTTATGTTGTTTTTGCAGAATATGTTAACAAAATAAAATTTGTCAGTAAAAGTCAACGTCTTGTTTCTGTGTTTGATGTTCATACTCGTCTAATTGAACATAGAATGAGAATGGCAGCAGCTACAAACAACACTATTATGATGAGAAACCTCTTAAATTTTGGTATTTCACCTAATTGTTGTGATATACAAGGAAGAACTCCTCTTCATCTTGCCTCTTGCAGGTAAATTTTGATCAACATATTCAATTGTTAATAAATATTTTATAATATTAATATTAATATTACAGAGGTTATACGGAAATGGTTCGTTTGTTATTACAATATGGTGCAGATCCTAATATTCGTGATTCCGTAGGCAATACGCCATTACATTTAGCAGCTGTAACAAGTAAAATATCTGTAGTAACACTACTTTTAAATGCAGGCACAAATCCCTTGTGTTTGGATCAATATGGTTACAACCCGTTACACTTAGCACAAACAAAATTAAAATTATTACAAAATTGTAAAGGAGAGGATATGGTGAAAATCAAAGAGGAAGTACAGAACATAGTTAGCATGTTGTTGGCATATTTACAAAAACATAAAGATACTCATAAAAGGATGGAAACCTTGAGTAGCTTGTGTTCACGTTTATCTTTATCAAATGTGTCTAATCAAGTTCAAGATGATGTAAAAGATTTGTTGGCTAATTTAGATACTCTATCTATAACACAGTAATCATTTATTTGCTTTAACAAACTATTAATTTTACGTATTGCGTATAATACTAAATCATTAAATCAAGTATGTTGGTTTATTGCTGTATTATATGCCAACGTGAAATTTTATTACTTTTTTTCATTATTTAATCAGTTTAGTAATAATTTAATCAGTTTAAGTAATAAGCGCTAAATAATTATATAATTTTAAACATATAATACAATTTTACAAATATTATAAATTATACAAATAGTGTTAGAGCAAAAGAATAAGGTTTATTTCAAATTTCTGTAGCAATGTTTTTTTTATAAGATTAAAAAATTATGCTTTATATTGTAGTTTTGAAGTTTATAAAACTGCAAATACAGTGTAATAATAAAAGCTGTAATTTTACTGTTTATAGCTATTGATAAAATAATAAAATTGCTATAAATTTATTTTTATAAATTTTGAAAATTTGTATATCTTCTACATCATATATATATGACACATATATACTTATGTACATTATTGCATTAGTTAATTTTTTCAGTAATTTCTTTTTATACTAGTATTTTTTTTAAGTTTATCTTCTATTTTTTTAGATTTTTTAAATTTTCAAACGATATAAAATAACGAACGTATAAAAGTAGACTGCAAAATACAACATATACTTTTTACTTCCGTCCTGAACTGTTTTTTCAGATTATATATTTTAAAAATTTTGGGTGAATACATTAGCCAATGAATGAAATATGTTCTTTAATGCGTTTGTAAAAAAGTTGTGCTCTTACTTACCTTCATAAATTAGAAAAAGAATCTTAAAGTGCATTCCTAATAAATTTTTTTAAAATATTTTGATTCATATATATCGTTAAAACTTTTACTAATTTCTCAACAGTTAATCAGTTTTGTTAAATATTGCAACTATTGTTATATATATTCTTTCACTTTCTTTGCAGCCTTAGTATCAAGTATTGGAATTACATAAATGTATGAATCAGTAAATAATTATATATATCTTTTATTTTGATCTATTTTGATCTAACTAAAACTGAGTGGTATTCAATGTTCAAAATTGAACATAATTAAGATTTAGGTGTATATGTAATTTGTTATAATTTCTAAATCTCTAAAAATAATTTCATTAAATGAAATTTTTGCTTGACTGATATACTATTTTTTATTCTTATATGATATTGAAAAGATAGTGAAAGTAGATGTAATTTTTCAAATATGATATAAAAATTGATATAAAACGAGTGAATTGTATATCAAGTACGCGTTAAATATCAATATCGGGATTAGTGTGATTTTTCAAGTGTGTTTTTAAAAATTAGATTCTGTGTGATACCAATTTTGCTATGATAGGTGTACAATTTATGATCATGATACTTTAGGGATAGAATTGACAATCGTGAAGGATCATGTTTGTATTGCCTATATAAACTTGTGAGCAATTTATGTAACTACTTTATATATGAACTGTAAATAAGAAATTTTTTTGTTAGCAGTACTTATAGCAAATAAAAAAAATATCTTATTTCATAGAAATTTATGGTCTAACTTTCCTTGCGTTTAAGCCACCTCAAATATATTATTTTTCTTCCCGACTCTGATATATATTACAATTTCTTTTTTTCTTTTTGCTTGTAACTTTCTTATAGTTATATCCATATAACAATATATACTGCATTGATAAAATCATTGTTGTTTGAGATTGAATGAAATTTGTTTTGATTAATTGAACTAAAAGAAACTTTATAGTCATTTTCCTTATATCAATATTGAAATAAATAATAAACTAGAATTTTATTTTTTATATTCGCAATCTTATAAATATGTTAACGTTTTTATAAATAATAAATATTTTATGATCAACTTTTATACTGTCCCCGTAAAATACAGATCTTATCATAAGATCATAAGATCTTTTTATACAACTTCTATAACTATTCGTAGAATTATGAAGATAATTCAGTAAATATTTATATTGGTACATTCTCTAACATCTTACGCTGATTACTACAAACATATAATTTCTAGGTCATAGAAATTAAATCAATTTTAGACAAACTACGATGATTTTGTGTAAAGAAATTTATTATCATCTCTATATTCTCTATCATATTAAATAACTTTCATTATTTTCGAAAATATTAACGATCGTTCCGCTGAAAAATAGCGGAATAACAAAAATTAATATTGTACATACATATTAATCTCATCGATGATAAATCAAATTTTTTTATTTTCAGCGGCACAATTTAGTGTTTTTCTAAGAGTATACGAAAATTTAACATTCTTTCTTTCTTTTTATAACAATATACAATTATTTGCTTTATTTTTAATAATACAATATAATAATAAAGATAAATTAACAGAAGTGAAAAAAATTATAAAAAAATTATGTTCAACAGAATTACATTTGTTAAAAATTTGGGGATAAATATTACATAAACAGAAATTTTATTTAGTGTTTTGTATCTTAATTTGAAAATCCTTACTAGTCATATTTCTACAAAAGATGTATGTATTTATAAAATAATTATTTAATTATTATAGTTGTCATTAAATTTTTAATTATCGATCCTTAGAAGTTTCGCTCATTAGTGTATTTGAAAAAAATTGGTTTTAATTGAAATGAAATTCATTACCCCCTGTCCAAATACAGTTCTTTTATATATGTTAATCAACATCAAAGATCATTAAAAAGTGCTATATGACTAGAAAGGATTAAATAGAACTTTTTATAGTAAGCATAAACATATTCACAATGACAAACGATAATTTTCTATTACAAGTGTGCCATTGAAATCTTATGGATATTCAACTTCAAATATCTTCTGTACATAATTAATTTGATTTTTTATGCGTGCTAAGAAATGAAATTGATTGTCTGAAGATAACAAACAAAACTTAATGTTATTTCCTGATTTCTTTTTTTGTTTTGTGCCTTTCTTCTAAATGAAATTATCTTGTTTGACTTTTAGAAAAACGTTAATAATTTACAAACTCTTGTACTCTTTTGTACGGCATGTAACAATGATTAAAACAATAAGTATAATTGCTTTTTTTGCTTCGCGACAAGCTTAACTCCTTGAAATATATACAAGCGTACATAACGATCCTTGGCATTTTTAATACAGGTACGACCAGAGAATTTGGCACAAAACTAAAAATAGAATAAATCTTTAAACGAAATAACTAAATGAGAAAAAGGAAAACGTCTATTATATATATTATTAATTATCTTTTCGCATCTCTTGGCACAAATTTACAACATCGTAATTACATACAAAACAATACAATTTATACAAATTGTTATTATTAATTATCTCTATAAAATTGCTCTTTAATAGCTTTAAGAGAACATCGATGAAACTTCTTTATAATAAATAAAAGCTCTTTGTTTCGATATTAAAGCGCAACTATATAACAATATGCAAGATCATTTCTGCAATTTTATACAAACATCGTTTCGAAGTTGTTACGCGGTCAATCAAACATATTTCTCTGGTGTTCTCTCGACATATATGGTTTCTGTTTTTTTTTCCTTTTTTCCTTCATCCTTAATGTTCCGCATTTTATCCGTTAATTATTATGATATGTTCTTACGTCGGATAAGTTCGCGGCTAATAGAATCTCGAAAAAATATCTCGTGAGCATAAGACGGTATCTGTGCGTTGTATCGAAAGATTGACATGTTCTTTCTTTAATCTAAAATGCATCTAAATGTACAAGATTTGAGCACTATCGAGCGACTAAATCAATACTACAGCGTCGGCATTTAGACTGCGTGACAATTACAGTCCGGTCGATAAAATGTATACAAGCTTAAAAAAAATTTGATCGGGAAGATCAAATTAATTCGTTTATGCTTGCAATGGAAGCTATTATACGCTATTACAATTGTTTAAGAAATACAATCTATGTACTTATATTACTGAAAGAATTGCCAGGCAATAATATTGAACGGAAGAAGCGTATAAAATTCTTGGTGAATTTTGATGATACTTTCTGATAAGTAACGAGGAGAAACATACATCTAATCATCGAGTTACTCACTGGTATAAGTTACTCATTTATTATTATATTTTTATAACATTGGTTTCAATTTATACCTAATATTTTCATAATCAATACGTTGTGTAAGTCGAGGATTAGCTGTCTATCATTTTACCAATGTACTATTAAGCTCAACAATAGTACTTGCTAACTAGGATAAAGTCCCATGAAACATTTTATAGTTGCACCCGTTATATCATATAGGAAATAGTCCAAAAACTTACGATTTATTAGGCTAGCTAATAAAATTAATGATCACTAGTTAACCAGCACTATTGTACGGGATGATCCGGAGTTTCATGCACTCTTTTATTTTTAAGATACTTGTCTGTATATCTGCAGAATGAAAGTTTCAAAGATGAATTAAGTTACAGAATTTCTATAGTTATACAAGCGAATGTTTAGATGACTTTTTTTGAAAAATGAACATGTTGTTTATGAAAGAAACTGCATGAATGTTTCAAATTTTAATCTTTGTTAAATGTAAATTTATGAGATGCAATTTAGATGTAGGAATATAGTTAAAAATACATAGAGAATAATTTTTATTACAGTTAATATGATCATATATTGATACTGTTAAATAACTGCTTCGAGAGAATAACATTAAAAAAAAAAAAAAAAAGGAAAAGACTTAACGTTTATTTTGATGTATGAAACATGAGCGTCAAAAGCTTCAAACAATATCGGATCATCCCGTATAAACAATAAACCTCTACGAAATAAGTTGAGCTAATACAAACTATGGCTGCATTGATCTCGTTAATTTATACGTACTCGTATACATTTGATGGAATGATTTAACTTCACAGTCTGAAATATACATCTATCGCGATTCTCTGAGCTAAATCGTATTTACGTATCGCGAATTGGAATATATTAATACAGTATTGTCACCAGGACCGTGCTACCATAATATAATATAATATCTTATTGAACTTAAGATTGTACAATTTGATTTCCATTGCTAACTCCGTACGAAGTGTAATGCTAATTTGTATCAAGGAGACATTACCGACGCTAAAGATGGGAATATCTCGGCTTGTAAGGGTCCATAATCTACTTTTTCTCCATCCACTGTAATGTAACCGTTTGTTCCTTCTGGTTCTATTCGAAACGCCTTTACCGGTATCATGTCGACGCCAGAACGTGTTACATGAGTGCCATTACTTAAACCCAACAGGAACTAACAGACAAAGTAAACAATTTTTAGTGTCATTATCATTATTTTGATTTATAATTTAATTTTAATTGCATCATAATAATTTATTTAATTTATTTTTAAAA